TATCGATCGATCAACCCAGTAATCTGCACACCATCTCTGGATGAATTTTTGTGTCGCCAACTGATTGCTAAGCCTTTCGAACTTCACCTCACTAATAACTGATTTTCCTACTTCCTAGTAAGCACTGTTGTGTGGCATCAAAATAATCTAACGGGGAGAAAGCAACCATACAACTGTTTTAAAAAAGTTTTGAAATAAATCTGTAGGACAAACGCTTGTGGTGGACCAACCGCCCCCGATGAGGTCGTGTGCGAATCAGTTTATGGATGCAGCGCTTCGTATAGGAGAGTTAGACCTGGCAATCGGTCCTGTTTGTCTTATCTGCCGTGGGATACACCACTTAATTTCGATTGCGCCATAGTGTGGGCGCATCTGACAATTCGCCTTCGCAAATCCATCATTTGAAAACTATCATAGCTCAGGCATTCCGTGGAGTGAACCAACACAGTGCTATTAAGGAGCGAGTGAATGAAGAATGGCGAAATGGGAAGGGATTTCTTCTAGTGGCGTTCAGGGCTATCTGCTTAATCTCTCCGATATGATCAAATAAACACTGGATGTAGTTTATATCGCTAGTCGGGATCGATGCTAGGAAATCCATGCCTGGAGGTAATGACTGCGATGGCCCATATCAATGCCTGAAACGCCAAACAGCGGAGCAGTGCAGTATTGTATTAAGTCCTTTGACGGTCACCCAGGAGGCATATATTTTGGTAAACCTGCCGCACCCAAAGGACACCGAGTTCCATTACTCTTTTGAAGGTATCTTGCGATGCATTCAGAACGCCATATCTTCTGAGGAATGTTAACGGTAAACTTGATTTGCTTGAGTTAAGGTGGGATTCATATAGAAAATCATGGGCCTTGGTCGCACCAAGCAAATAAATTACAAATAAATATCTAAATCGTTTTGAGGCGAGACACACGAACCGTTGGATTTTATTTGCTCAACATGAATGCTGCGCCGTTTTGCGGAGAAAACTACTTTCAGCGACATTTTCGTATGTTGTTGATTCCTGAACCTCCCAGTTCAGACCTGTTCTCCATAAATATCATTTTTGGCCGTTTTGTTAACTTCACTTGTTTCGGTTGTGCCGAGGACTGAGCAAACGCTGCACTAGCGGACAGAGGTTTTCTCGTGATCCTTCAATGCATTTCAGTTTTTACTTTGTCTACTGTATTTTTGTTAAGTAGTGTAGCCACTTCGTTCTGTTTGGTTCCTATACATTTCGAATTTCCTTGTTCGCCCCTGCAGGCACCAAATTCAAACCCTGCTGGGAAAGAGCCAATGCCCGTTACGACTTTGTACCTACAAATCTGCATGTGAACCAGGTAGCTCTCACGGATGTTGATGGACAGATTGGTAAGTAATATTATTCTCTGGCCTTTTTTCGTCACTATGGTTCTCCAACACCCTGTTTTTAATCGTGCTTTTCATTTACTGCACTGGGGTCGCATGAAGGCCTCGGGTTGATTCGGCAGTCGCTCACTAATAATTAAAGTGCTTAGATGTGATAACTTTAAAGTGTGCCTGTCTCCTTGCCCGGATGCATCTGGTCCAACATTAACTCATATTCCGCTTGTCATTTTGGGATCCAGGTGGGTTGTCACTACCCAAACGTGTGCCGTAATGCATTCAAACACTTTCAGTTTCGCCCCGGGCGCATTTATACTGGTCCAGACAACATCTTCATGAACGAGACGACTCTACAAATCACGGCACCATTCTTGAAAAGCGTGAAAGGACTATTGAAGAGATGTTAGCTTTTCTACTTTATTCTGCGGTCCAGTTAAAAGACATGCTCATTGCATGGCATATGTGGTTTAAAAGAACAGCCCATGAAGACATTTAGAGGGAAGAAGGGAGGTCAAAGGTTAGTGCTGAGGCAAGCAGAGTCCCAAATTACTGAGGCGGTTGGCTTTTTACCTTATGTATGCGAATTTATTGAATGCTCGTGTTGCTGTATAGTTATTGGCACTTCTAAAAATACCTCGTAGGATCACCGAGTGCTATTTTGGTTTGTGAAGTTCTTGTTTTCTATCGTCACGAGTTCCTTCTGAACTCACCTGGGGGCGGTTGCGCTGAGATTTCTCCATGGTTCGTTTCACCTGAGCACTTTGAGGGCGCTGTAATTTGTTACAGTGATAACGTGGACTCAGATCCTTGTTTCATACGGTTTGCATGACGGTCATGTACCTAAAGGATACCAGATACAATTAATTGAATTTTTTTAGTTATATTCTCTTGGATTGCTCCGAAATTTTTTCGTCAGCACTGAAGTCCTTTATTGCTTCTCGGGTCATTTGTAATTATTGGTGGGATTTGACGTTGTTGGTGTGTGGCTCAGGGTCTTTCGGTTCGCACGGAACTTCCTGGTAACATCAAGCAAAATTCGAACAATTTGAATAGTCAGAAGTGCATCTAGAAATAATGGTACCTTTCATAGGTGTTTCAAAAATCCAGAAGGAATCTTTTTCAGACACACTGTTGGATGGTTATAGAATTATCAGTTCTAGGATTGTCCACGCGGCATTTCACCGATATGGTAATCTGTACATCTCGCTCTCTGCGTTGTAAGGGAAAAAGAAACGAGTTTTCACTAGTCACCGAGGTATCAGTTTATCAGACTAACAGATGAGTGGTCGTCTGACCCCAGCCAATGTTCAGGTTCCTTTAATTGGTGGCGCGGTAACAAGTTGTAATCAGTAGTCCTGTTTTGTATCCAGTACATTTTGATTGACATTGATAATCAACATGATAAACAAGAGATTCAACTGGGTGAGTCTCCCGCCGAAACCAAATTGAGTGTATTTGTCGAAATCTGTGCAGTTTGGGTTCAATTAGGACATAAGGTCAAAGGAAGCTCGCGGACCTTTCTGACGGGCCTCAAGGAATGTGAAACCGGTGGTTGGCTGTCGAAGAATTTTCAACACTCTTCTGAGTAGTGTATTAAAGCTAACAATGTATTAAAGCTAACAGATTGTCATCAACTCGCCACTACGAATCATGTGTATGTGTAAAAAGGGGAGACACCCACATCAGGTAGCAGAGTAATGCACTAGAGGAAAAAGCAACCGCTCGGCAGTGTACATGGGCGAATGCCCACCGCTCTTATGTCCCCATTTATGTTTGATCCCGATTTGAACGTTAGAAGGTTGGAGATTAAGTCTGCCCCCACATCTTATGCATCCTTTTGGCTGGATTTGGTTGTATTCATCATATATCGGGTTCCTTTTAACCACAAATTAATGTTACTCGCCAGTACTCACTGCGTACGACCGTGTCTCTCTCTCTATTCTGGTCAGTTTTGTTACTAACGGACTGAATGCATTTCCTTAAGGTAGTGTTCGTGTGATCTATTTTTGGATGTATTTTAAAGCTACTGCTCTCCACCAATCCTAATATTGCACACTTCCCAGTCGGTCCCTCCACGTGATGTTTGTCTGTAGTTTTTCGTTTCTTTGTGTTTACTGAGTTCGAATATAATGTCCCACTCAAACGGAGCTCACTGCATAATGTCTTTTTCTGCTTCGCTGCTCAAGTGTGTATAGTGGAAATTCTGGAACTATCATGATATATCCTCCTGATATACCTCCTGATTTCTTATTTAGTCATTCGTGGCTTCTATCAGTCTATCATGAAGTTAAAAAATTCAAATTCACGTGACCATCAACCATTATTTTCTGCTAATGATAGCAAATCAGTACATCAGAACAGTCTTATACTACTTTGCTCAATAAGTAGGCCGTTGTGGTTATGTGGAATAGTGGTGTATGTGGAATAGTATCTCCAATTTTGGTTGTTTTTCTCGAAGATGTCTCCAGTTGACCAGGTTAAACAACTGTAAACCTGAAACCAAACATTCCATTATTACTACAATTCATCAGTTGACAACACAGTTTATTTTTAGTAAAGACACTTATCGTCCACTTAATGGAGGGTTTAGTAATTGCAACTACAAGTACAATTTTCTCCTCTTCACTTAATTTTGTCGAAAGCCGTTTTCACTTCTAGAACAGAATCTCGGCCCTTACCGATACCCATCCTTATTCCGTTCTGCTCTCTTATATGACCTTTGTATGCGATTGGTCAATCGCCGGCGACTAAAGCTAGCTGTCCAACTGTTTCTCTCTTTTCCACCCTCAAGTCTGCTCATCGTTCCTATATTTTGAGAGTGATTGTTTTGCTGCTCTTATTTTATATGTTAGAGGTACTTCCTTGGATGTACAATGCTTCTGATGACTCGACTTTTTTCATTCTTTTGAAGGATTTCGCTTCTCGGAAGTCTGCTCCGAGCGAACCAAATGTGGCCCCGGTAGTCCAGTAGTTGGGGCTATATAGTGCTATTGTTTTCGCCCATCCGTTGTTCATGTGAACCTTTTTCCGCACTTTCATTTGCTTTCACTTTCAGTGACTTTTCACAACATTACCTCTGTTGGAGCCTTCACAACATGTTCCAGAGCTTATAAAGCCGGTGGCCTATTCAGGCAGGCGGCCGACACAGCTCATCTACCATCTACGTATCCACCACTGCGACTCTCTGCGTCCCAAGTGGCGCTGGAGTCACCGATAGCATCTGCCGCCTGCCTGTTGGAAACCTCTGGAGTGGGAAGAGCCAACGCACTTCTATATCGTGGTGCCGGAGCGTTGGCTGTTCTTCGCAGTGATCTGTTGGGACTCGTACAACGATTGAGTGCTCGAGATCAGGCCGAGCCTTTGGCAGAAAAGTTACGAAAAATGGTAACTATCAATACCCAATATCATAAATTTGTTTTGTGCGTGCGCTCTCATGATCTAGCATACACACATACGACGTATATTACCTGGGAATATCTCCCGAAACACTGCTCCTTCAACACTTGTTTGTGGTTTCTGTAGCCTCCTGTGTTTTTCTCGCGTGATATCTCGTGTTGATTCACTATCTGATTCCAACCAGTTTCGTTCTCTGATTGTGGACAGTGATTGTTTCTGCTTCCTAGAGACCATTAGAGAATACAGTTTAGCAGAAGTCTTCAATTTCGAAAGAGACTTGTTGAAAAGGTCACTTACTGGACCACACCTAACCTACTCGCTTGACTGTACACAGTAGGTTTTCCGGTTTGTCGCATCTGCCACCGGACTCCGTGGTACTTTTGACTTGGCACCACGTATAGCGATATGAAAGCCTTCTCAAAGCTTGTGCACACCTTGTGCATTGTGTCAACGCTTATTTGTGTAGTTTATCGACTGTACGCCAGAAATAGGTAAGTACGCGAAACACATGGCGGGATATCAGTTTAGCCAATGGGATAACGGACTTGACTGGCCTAACCGTAAATGGGGTTGTATCGAGCCCAAATTCAATGTATCGGCTATGATTGGTTCACATAGGCTTTATCCTCTTTCTCATCCAATCTTGTAAGTTCAATCCAGAAGGACCGGCCGAATGACATTGCCTGCAGTAAAACTGAGTTGATGCGGTGGCGCGAAATGGAAGATCACCAGCTTGTATCCCCAAGTGGTTCAGTATCAGTAGACTGCGTGATTGAGTGAAACAGAGAAGTTCATAGCTATTGTGCATCTAATTTAACGCCTTCAACATGGCTAAGGATATCAAAACTCGAGATGGTTCAGTGATTAACTTAATGCTTGGAAGGTGTGCAGTTTGATATCCCGACCGCTCCGGTATATGCTTGGGCAACTTGGCATTATCTCAATCCACACGCTTCATTTGAGTGGCATAGCAGCTAGATACCGAAAAGCTGAACGATTGTTTTCATTGATTAAGGGGATCAGACTATTATTGGTTCTCCATACGCACCCGCAGCAACTCCAGTGGTTCAAGAAGGTATACAATAGATTGCTCCGAAACTGAGGCGATGATGCTGTACACTCATCAAACGGCTAGATGTAGTGCACAACTCATACGGTTGGTGAAAAATCTTCGACAGCCCACGATAGGTTTCGCTCTTCTTGGAGCTCAGTAATTAGGTGCTGTTCCCGAGTTTCCGCCAACCGTATGTTCTTCTCGAACCCAAATTTCACGAAATTTGACCTATACACTCATCTGCGTAAGAATTTGGTTTTGACGGGAGACTTGCCTGAAACCCAGATGGTGAGCCCCAAGAAGGGCGATATTGGTCATAGGCTATCGAGGAGTTTTTAGCAACCTTAGGAGTGATGTATTAGCCCATACATACAGTAAATCGTGATATCTCGAATATCGTACCGGTGCAGCACATTCAGTTGAGTAAAACGTCATACATGAGAGTATCAAACGGTTATTTTATTTTCCAATCTAAATTGCGCTTAAGCTTCCATTTTTCGGGGTATCCGTCTGTGCTATTCACCAAATGGCATCAGCAGCATTGTTTATCATTCGCAAGCTCGTTATGACGAAGTGGCACGTTCCTGATGACTGCTGTTTACATCAACCAACGTTAGAATAGTACTGTAAATAGTACTGGTCTTTGAGGCGGGTATTTTAATTGAAATGCGTATGAATTCCGGTGCGAATCCTGTCAACCCGCCTCACTCAGATATTACCAGTTGTCTCTGCTTGAGTAGTGTGTGTATATCTGGGCATAAAAGCGTTGGTTCCATATCTTTCTCAACCTCTGTCCTCAGAAACTTCCTTTAGAGTCGAACATGTATACCTAATGAATGTACAATTTGTCTTCTGTCATGAAACCTTCCCATCTGCTTTCCCTCTGTTTTTTTTCTCCCAATGCATTTATCCTCCGCCTTTTCGGTTTTCACCCACGTGTTGTTGTTGTACACACATCCGTATTCTGGTCCGAAGAAAGCCGGCAACGATGAATAGGGAAAGTTCCTTGTTTCGATTTGTCCTGTCAGAGACCGTTTTGGGAACACTTCTGAAATGATCTAATATATTTAGGTTTAATCCCCCTATCTTAACAACCCTTCCACACAGTGTACAGTTTTTCTGTTCTCTACGGGTTGGTTGATGTAAATGGGAACACTGTTCATTGTTTGGCTGTCCGAAAATAATTGTGACATCGTTTGTTCAGATTTTAGGTTGTCATGTTATGTCATCTGGTCCTCTTTTCAAACCGAAGAGCGATATAACTGTATCCCATAGTTACCTCGATGGCTTATCACATCGTTTGTGAAAGCTACAACGTTAGTTTTAACCCAGTGGTATGTGAGAACTTGGTACGCTTTCGTCAATATACTACTAATCCTGCGGATTGCATTGCTCTCGAAATACTCATAATTCAGATTTCTTCAATTCATTGGAAACGAGTTATACTCAAAGTCCACGCGAGCCTCCTGCGCTCGTCAGACCAGGGGCTTTTAAGCAGCCGCTGAGCTGCACAAAGGTACGTTTCGTGGTCCAACGACAGAGAGAATCCACCATCTATGAATTTTAGCACTTTTATTGCTGTGATCAGATGTAGGTGTAGGAGGTGATACAGAGCGTATGGTGACAGCACCGCGTTACGGGACAATAACACAATCAACCACTATCCGTCCGGCATCGGTTCAAAGTTTGCAAACCAACCTCCGGATTATTTCAGTGTGGACGATTGAACGTGAACGCAGGCCAACTCAAGTTTCGTTATTAGTCATCAATGCAGGGAGCATTCGTCCTCGGCTTCATCATCCTCATCATCGTAGAGTGCGGCACCAACGCCGTTCACCATTTGGCCACAAAATTTTGCAAGCCTGAAAAGAGTGACCGGTAGGGGACTTGGTTCTAGCCCACCACGATCATTCAGAGCTGTTTCCGCCTCTAACTGCTCACCGCGACGGTTAAGTACCGCTATGTTTTACTAGTGTATTGCTTTCAGGGGTTGTGATGATGCTCACTGAGACAGCCGAGACTGCACGAACGCCGCTAAAGTGGTTGGCTGCCGATTTTAAGGAACGTTCTTTTTTTTTTTTATCTTGAAACTGCTTTTGATATTGGAGAATCTAGAAATGATTTATTATTATTGCTCGTTTAACTTCCACTACTTAAATACGAGAGACTGATGACATGCTACTCTAATTGCTGTAGTGATTTGAGTCTCTGGTAAACGTCAACCTGGTTGCAGCATTTTTCGATTTTGCTTGTCCCAAGAATCGCTGCGTAGGGATATTCTAATGCATCATGTTTACCTTTGTTGGAATCTTTGGTTTCCTTAGGATGTTGCATCTAGTGTATTTCTCGCCGATTTGATATGACCAGATTTTTGGATGGAGGAATTGCAGTTCTTGGTGGACTTTTTTTTCCCTGTGTCTCTCGCATGGTTGTTTTAATGTTTTCTCATTCATTCATTCATTCTTGTTTTTGGCCCCTAGGTTGTTTCAATGCAAAGCGTCTTTACCGACGGTCTTCTTAACAAGCCACGTGAATCAAATGCAATCTTGGAAGACTTTAGTACTCTCTCAAAGCTTTTGTCCGAATTGGATGTTCTGGACAAGTCGGAGGGGACAGCTTCGCCAAACAAAAGCGAGTGCGTTTTATCTGCTGTTAGTCGCAGGTTTTTACTTCGCATTTGTTAAATCCGCGTGTAACAAAACATTATTTTTCATTGTTGTTTAATATTGGTGTAACCATCGACGAGATGAGGTTCGACGGCCACTTGCAGTGTTTCCCAAAGAGACCATATGCCCCTTGTCGGCCAAATCTAAATTTTTACTCTCATACACCAAGCAACTGAGGTATTAATGCAGAAGTTTGGTTATTCTTGGAATAATTCAACCTTTTCTGATTAAGGCTGGTCTCAAGCTTTGTTATGCGCTCTGTGACAAACGATTAGCATGAAATGGATTCATGCAATACAATTACTGAATCATTTTCTATCGAGAATAGCTGATTTTAATCCCTGCTTTGAGGTGGTGAAAGCAAAATAGGGTGAATTATCTGTGACACTGAAACAGGTATAGAAATTGGGGGCTTTCTACAGGAGCCCCACTCCAGGGCGGAGTCCTCTCGAACACCCACCTCCGCGTGCTCGGTTTGCAACCTTGCAATCAATGGTGGTGGGGTGACGTCATTTTTTACACAGATTACTTTGTATTGTTCATTGCCCTCATCGACCCTGAGGTTTCCTGCAAGATCGTATCTAACTACTGGGATTTTTGATGAACTCATCCTGTTTCTGCTGTGAAATATGGGTATCTGTTTGGTTGTTAGTCTGAAATCCACCTACCAAGCTCGGCGAACGAAATAAAAACATGAACTTGTTCGTTTGGAAGACAAATCCGGGTAACTTTTTCAGAGGGATAACACTAGCTTCTAGGTGTTTCTAATGCTGATCGCTAGAGTCTTTTTCTCGGAAGTGTACAAATTCTACTACTGCTGTAATCCTCTAAAAATGCCGGACTGGACTGCGAAAATAACCCGGCTTTTTCGCCAAAGCGTTTTGTTTTTATAAAGACCGCGTCAACCGTGTTCCGTTTCGTTACTTGTCGTGATACAATTAAAGGGTCCAACTAAAAAGTATATCTTTTTGCAAGTTGATCTCTTTTTGGGATGTACCTCAAGTACCAAGCACAAGTGGTCTTCTATGAACTGTGGTCGCCCGTGAGTGGTCCATTCGGAGGGGTACGAGTGTATTCTACAGGTCGAAAATTGTAATACTGTGATGCATTCCGCATCTACATAGTTTGTTGCTAATTGTGTAGTCAGACCTGTTTGTGTGGTGGTGGCACATACTAAAACTCGAATTTTCCATTCACAGATCTCCAGCTTCGGGTTCCGTGAATGTCGCTCAACAGCGTGCCAACCTTATTGCAACTATAGACAAGGCAGGTGAACAGCTTTTGTCCTGTTTGGACAAGGCCTGGGATGCTGGCTCTGAAATTTTATGGAATCACGTCTTCACCGGTTTCACAGGCCTTATCAGACCTGACCCAAACTTGGAAGTGGGCTGGAATGCTAGTTCCTTGATAGCAGAAGCTGAGCGAGTTTCCACGGCTAATGCAACTGTAAATGTGGACAATGCGCTGACTGCTTTGTCAGTGATATATGACGCGTTCAACTACAGGCATCACGCTTGCCTTTGTCAAGTAAGTTGATGCTGGCTGAATCCTCATGCTGTAAGCTACTTAGCAGAACCCGAATATCCTCTCGTAAAAACAAATCCAGCCAAGTTATCAGTGTTTCCATGATGACCCTTGTACAGTTGTATTGTGGTTATGGCCACAGCACTCCGTGTTCACCGATGGAGTGCAGAAAATATCAGAAAGTAGTAACACATTGTGAGACAATACAAAGAGGTAAACTGAACCAAAGTCGCGGACCTGTGACATCACCGACAATATTAATGCAATATCGCCTGTTCGGTGTACAAACGAGTAAACGGAAAATTTGGCTTCAAATTTACATAAATGTCGTTTGAACAGTGCTCCTTCTATGCTGGCGCCATTAATTCAGTGGTCCACACCAGAGGGGCGAAATATTATTCTCGAGTTTCGCTCTTATAGGAGCTCATTCGCGGTGCATATATCCGTGGTCGTACCGGGAATTGAACTCCGGACATCTCAATTCAGTGTTCCTACGGCACTGTTTTCATCTCTTTCAAGTGATGAATACGTGATAATTTAGTCACATCTTAGAGGGATTTCGTAAATTGAAAGAGTCATGAAATCCGCAAAATAAACTTGGAAAATGTTAGGAAAATGTTTTCAGGTGGGGACTACGATGTGTGCCACGGCGACTGATGGTTGACGTATTGAAAATCGCGAAGCATCTCAGTGGAATAGAATAGAAGGCGGAAAACTCGCTAGTTTGTGGAGAACATATATAGATCAGTCGTACGGACACCTGTCGGTGTACGGTTATCAGTGGAGAGAAGTAGCTTAAACCTGAATCGCATAGCACCAGTCGACCAGGAAGTCCATGTAATCTCAATCTTCTAATCAAGATGATGATGATGCGCCAGATGAATCATCGTTTTAGGCGACCTGAACCCGATGAAAATTCCCTTAATCCATCGGGCATACGGCCTCGACACCTCTAATCGACACGATATTCAACCATAAGCCGGAAGAGATCTTCATCATGGGTTCTCTATCTGCCTTAAAACCCGGCAAACCTGATAGACTACCCATTTCATTTGACGAAGCTATTGTGTTAAAATCGAAGCATCGCCCAGGAATGAACCCACCGATTGTTTATGAGATCTTCAGAAACGTGACTTCTCTCTTACAATTGATTGGATATGCTCCATAACTATTGCTATGCTGAACTCTATCCTGGTCTTGTATACACTCCTCGAAACAAACCCTTTTCACCCCTTATCACTATTTCCAACCGATGAGGGTCATATCTCCCGCTCTCTCTTGATCCATGGTTTCCTGTAGAAAGTGCCGTTATTTTTTCAGAAATGCGTATGGGTCGTTCTGTTTAGACCGTTTCCATCCCTCATCGAACTGTATCCGTTCGACACATTGGATGCCCGGCAAAGTAAGTGAACAACTCTTCGGTAGTTTGCGGTCTTACGACCTAGCAAACTATTGCCACCGGGTTCAAGTAAGAGGAATCAGACGCCGGTGTATGAAAACGGGTTAGGAATGATTGATTCTAGTCTCCGGTGTTCGTATTTGATGTAAACCACGTGCTTATTCAGCGTAGAGCACGGAAATTCGCCGGTTCAGTCGTTCAACTTTTCCATCATTTCGCTCTTTTAAACAACGAATCTGAGCCCTAGCTAGTCTGATCATAACTGTGTAACCATGTGCATTCTCCTGTATCACACCTTGCTTTCATCAGAGTGGACGGAAGTTTGCCGTTTTGTCTTGCTTTTGGATGGCAAACATTTGTTCGGGGATGAACTAAGTTTACCTATTTCTCTATAGTGTGGGTTTATTGGCGCTTACTACAGTCAACGTTGCCGTTTAGGCTTTGTGCTTCACAGCGCTACATTTCCATTATTTCCGGTAAACATTGCATGACTCATTTGAAAATCAGCTTCGTCCTGTTTTGATGATAATCTTTGGAGGTTGAGTTAAGAAAGCTCCCAGTCTGTCCCGGTGTCCCCGAAACTTTGGCCGGGTTTTAATGGAAACATCGGATTGACAATATTGGGGTACGTCTAATGATTTTAGGAGAAGGGAACTGTGGTGACGGACGAGCTGCTCACGCTCCATAGGTTACGCTGGTTAAGACATGTACTTCGGATGCTAGATGACAGTCTACCTCTCAGAGCTTTTTTGTACAGCCCTATGTTAACCAGAAGCAACCGGGAGCTGAGTCGTGTGTAACCTGGAAATGAAACATGAAAGCAGTAAAATAAATATAGAGACTTACTTGAGTTGACAACTGCGGCCCCCCTCAGTGGGGATCCCAGAACTCAGCCTATCAGTAGTTAATATCGCTCTCAGACATGATTCAGTCACTCAGTCAACGGCTGGAGATAGATCAGTGGTTGAGGTGCCAGCTTATGGAACGGTAGGTTCGTGGTTCGAACCCAATCTAAGCATCGCGACAGCTCCTGTCTAGGCTTGGACAACCTGGCTGTATCCCATCTTTCGTGCCTTTTGTTCTCCTTTGGCATGGCAGCTAGGCACCGAAAGAGTGCTACAACTGAACGACATTCTTCCCGTCGGTGGCGCTCTTGGATCAAACTCTCGCCTTTAATGCGTAAATTCATGGTTTCCCGTTCCTTCAAGTAACACGAACAAACTGATCATGCCATCGCCTCCGATAACACTCTATGTGGCTTCGTTTTCCTATTTCCTGTTGAATGTAGCTGTACTAGCTACAACTAACGAACCCTGCGTGTATTGTCTGATAAAAATGAAAGAGTAAATAGATAAATCAATCAGTCAATGAATCATCACTATCACCATTGGTGGCGACCCCCCAGGTGAGAACACTGATGCTCCACTGGCGTGCAACATTATCAATGTACTTGAATAAAAAAATGGGACAGCGAGAAGAATTTAGAGCTAATCTGCCACAAACAACCGAGATGCCCACACCTTTGGCACTGTCAGACAATCTGTGTATAAGCTGACAGTTTGAATGTCATTGACTTCGGTTAACAACCATATAGTTCAGTATCACCAGCTAAACACGGGGAGGGTCACACAGACATCATCCCGGAAGGCGGACAACACCAACGGCTCTCTTATTTCGTAAAATCCTTCATTCCTTTTGGCCTTGTTGTATTCCATGCACTTCTAGGTTTCTCTCACTCCGAGTTAGGCACGGAGAACAGAACTCTTCTTGGAAGGCGGTAAACTGGCCAGCCAGTTTAGCATACAGTGCCGGATGCATCCTTTGACAGAAGTGTCCTCTGCTTCAACAACAACAACAACACTTCTCTCGATCCACTCATTGCGAATTCGCTGGTCCCAGCCGACTCCAACTCTATTTCGGAGATACCAGTGGCCAAAGATCTAAAGACGTCTCATATCCTGTGCACGAAATGACCAAGTGTTGCGGCAACACAAAAATACAGCACTCACTGTAGTGTGATACACGCATCTCATGGGACCCAGTGGTATGCTTCTTTGGTGCCACAAATGGCCTCGATCGGTGAACAATTCCAGCCTTTGAGATTTGTGCATTTACTTCGTCCGCCACACTGTCATGGGTACTGCAACATCCAGGATACGCATAGCGTTCAAAAACTTTTAGCACCACTCCTTAAATGCTCAGAGACTGTCCTCTCAAACCGTTCAAATACTATACGTCTTTCAGCATGACTGCACTTTGTGGTCGCGAGCCACATCCCGAAGAACAGGATGACCTTGGTTGGTATTTCTAGTAATACTTGCCCTTTTCTTAAAAAGTGATGACAGTTTTGTCTGCATATTCTACGCTGACATTGCTCTCGCTTGGAAAGATCTGAACACCGGAGTTTTGGAGACCTTCCAGTGTTCACCTCATGATCTCACCAACAACGAAATCAAACAAAAATGGAGAGAGTGTACATCCTTGTCAGACACCACTGCTTGTTACAAAGCTTTTTGTGAATTTCCCATACATCCTCTCGTGTATGTGAATACAAATAACCAATGACATTCACAAACTTCCGGGGCATACACTGTTGCTTGAGCCTGCTGAAAAGAACTTACCGGTCAAAAGAATCGAACGCACTCTTGAAGTTAAGGCACGCCAAGATTGTATGACGTCTATACGCATGCCGCTGCTCTGACATTTGACGAGTCCGTAGTCCCACTCGTTTTTCGCGGTTCTCGTCTCCACACGCTGTCGTGGGACGACGTGGGATATGCTACGCAATGACTGATTACAACAGGGGTCAAGCTGATTCCTCTATGATTGCCGCTTATGCAACGAACTTCTTTTTGGAAATGAGCAACACTTTTTGCGACGGTCTTTTTCGCTCAGACAAAGGAGGCAAATAAGTTAGGTTAGCACCAAATTAATATTTAACCTCCATCTTTGAACACAATGGATAGGAGTTGACCAGAATCAGAAGGCTGACGTTCGCTTATTCTCGAAGATCTCGAGTTTTCCAAGTTCACTGTCCAAGGCTGCGTTTCGAGTCGGGAATCCAACTGAGCAACTGTAGGTGGTCAGTTAGGTGGTTATTAAAAGGTTGAAAGGTAGGCGAGCTGTTAACAGTGATTACTTCCCTCACCGGAGACTACATTTGACCTGTTGCGCGTATCAGCTGGAACGATTTACACACATTCTCCTTCATCTTTCCAGCTTTCTGGAACCACCAAGCATCTAGAGGCGCAAAGATGCTCTTTTTCACGTGAAGTGTGACAGTTCGTCGAGTGTTATTGCACTCATAGCTAGGTGGACTACCTGTCAAAACTTCCTGCAGTTTTAGTGTTGCTCGAAATCCAGTGCTTTGTTCTACAACCGAAGCACCTTTAACCTTACTGAGTTGCGGATAGAAACTTCAACTATGAGCACATGAAAAGGTGCTGTCCGAAGGAAACTTCAATTCGCGCATTTGTATCTCCGGAAACCACAACTGTATCTGAGCTCTCAGCCCGCTGCGAGAAGACGCTTAATACTCTAAAAATCTCTGAGTGCATCAGTCTTTTGTGGAGTAAATAGTTACGGTGAAGAGGCAGTGGTTATCGAGGTGCTGACAGCCTACTATCACTGACGTTAATAAACGAACTGTACGAAACCGACTATCAACTGGCAACCATTAAATCAGAGACCCTTCAGCTCGGTGACTTAGAAAAATGCGAACCTCAGCAGAATGAATAGATGAATAAATTGGTTACTTAATGAACGATTTAGTGAACAGAATGAATGAGGCTCCTTTTATGGCACACGTGACAGTGCGTGTTGGGGTGCTCTCTTAGTGGGATCCTTATATGCAGTCCTGAGCACGTGATATCCAGTTTGCGTGCTTATGCTTTTACCTAGCTCGCGGGATATTTGACTACTTACATCTTCGAAGCTGAGTGAATTATCCTTTAGCTGAGAAAGGCACCAAGTGTCCTGAGTTATGGGACTTCATAACGCTTGAAGTAATTTAGTTTCAGTCTGTTGGTAATCCATGTGTTTGGTCGTCTTTTTAGCTTCTAAGCTATGGTGCTTTTCCCACTCACTTCTATCCCCTCCAACCTCTTCTACGAAGTATGGCAGTTTCATTGGTGCACCTTTAAATGTACCTGCCATATCGCTTATTGTTTCCCTCGTTTCCTTAATCACGCCCGCCAGACCCTTTGTTTTTGTTAGTCCCCATAGAAAAAAACCACGTCAGCCCAAGTATAGACAAGTGTGTTGGCCTGGCAACGCCGTTGGACTTTCACTCAGTTGAGAAAACTGACAATTCTGTTCTACTTGACCGTCTGGTTTCTGTTAATTTCCTCAACCAGCTGAGTTGGGTTTATTATGTTTTATTTAAGAATTAAGTTTTTTTTCTTTTCTTCAGGGTGCCATTGTGAGATGTTCCTATGTTATGGGACACCCAGCTAATTTTTCGGAGACTTCATGGTGCACTTCATGGTATACTTACTGACTCCTAACGAGGAATTTCTGTTACGCAGTGCATCTCTACTTTTCACCGTCGCGCTGTTGATCAACCTTATGTAATTCTGGTAGACCGTACCTATTCGGGTTGTCCTTCCCGCCTAGTAAAGTTCTTTTCATTCTTACCAGATGGTGCCCATTTTAATTCTCCAAACAACTTTTCTTGTTATTTTCTCAGGCTTTGACTTCGGTGCTCGCTGCTCTGGTTTCGATAGTCCCTCATTGGAATCGTACACGATGGGAACAGGTTGCCGTGTGTGGGATTCTAACCCAATTCGAAGGTCTACTGAGTTGTTACGGTAACGAGCTTGGCATGATCGAAGATTGGGCATGGGCAATAGAGCACCTGGCCAATATTCGCATTGTCCTCAGACCGTCACAGCCTTCAGCTTTGGGAACTGATCCCACTGGTTCCCAACGAACGACTGCAGTTGCTCGTAAGAACGATTCATACACGATATGTGCCAAAATGACTGGTGTTCATGAGTGCGAAGTGAGTCATCTGTTCTTGGAAATCCGTGTCTGATTTTCAGCTAGGCATTTGCCGTTTGAATGCGTTCCTTTTTGGTCATAGCGGTTTGTCTTAGACGATCGAAACGGCCATCCAAATGTGCGTTGAATTTCTCTGATCGAGATACCACGTGGTTTTCTCGTTAACTGAGGTTTGATTGCCTACTGTGCGGTTACACTTCGTTTGTGTGGCCTCCTTTGCGGTTGCTACCTGGAGCGTTAGTAGAAATCTAGGAATATTTGAGATATGTGTGACAGATAAGGTCATTTTTCGTGAAATTGTCGAGCTTTAGTGCTTTGCTGACTCTTTCATTTTTAGTTTTTAGGTAAATTAACGTGGTTGTACGGGATGGGTGCACCAATGTTCTCTGGAAGGGCCGTTAATGATGAGGATGATTATTTGTGAAGTGCGTTCCGGGAAATTCCAGATTTTGGACATTCGAGAGTCGGTTTTGCCATCGAATGTCACGTGAATAAACTCCACCTTCACATCCAACCGGGCAAATACTGCATGTTACATCCGGGTGTGAATGACGAATGAGAACATCTGTTCTCCAGCTGGAACACAGAACTATGTTCTCAGATTTTTCTCACCGGAACCGAACATGCTTCAGGTGGATTTCCGAGAACTGACTTTGCTATTCGTTAAAGTCTTCTACCTCCCTCTTGATCTGACACGTGTCTATTCTGCAGGTATCCCGACTCACAGCGGTCACCTTGTGGTGGTCGAGCTTCCGTGCTGCAGTGATCCTGCAGGCTACACTGGCGAAAACTCAGTTCCTAAGGGTTCAACCATGCTAGGAAGGCCAACGGGGCATGGTCCGACGAAGAATAGCCAGTCCCCGTACTGCGAGTAATCGTATTGCGAGGAGATTTGGAGGTAAAGTCGTACTGTCCTGTGCGATAGGTCTGTGAAGAGAAAAGGTCGGTCTCAAGAACCGCACACCCGGATCGTCCAACGGTTGACCGTGCCCGCCGTTTCGTTATTCAAAACGGTCGAAATATTTCTAAAACCAAGGATCCCGGTCCTTCCCAAAAGGAACCTGCGGTGCTCAGCCACTCAGGAGGGAGACAGTAATGCCTAACTCCCTGCGCCAGGCTGGCCATCTGCGGCCAAGTATTTCAGAGTCAATGGCTTCGGGAAGACTCCTCCAAGAAAATCCTAACAATAGCTGTCTAGCGGTCCAGCCTCTTGAGTTAAACACTGAGGGCAGGGTCCCCGACCAAAACCATACATCCTCCCACTATCTTGTAGGTCAGACTTTTGAGTCAAAGATACAAAGTGGGTTACCTCAACTAAACCCCCTTCTTCGGCCTGGACAACCGGGAAGTATCATTTGCCCTTGTAGTTCTTCCCTCACCAGCCTTCCCTCTCATCCCATCCCAACTCATCGTATACTGCAGTGAAACGAACCCATCTACCGATCCCATAGCCACTGTTCAGTGTCTTAACCATCGCCCAGGAAATGAACAAAAATAATCACGTACTAACCTCAAAAAATCTGATCCATGTTGCGGCCTTCAATGTCCAAACTCTATGTCAAATTGGGCAACAGGCATACGATGTATGTTGTGTTTCCGAAACACGCATACAAGACCCCACTTCGACCGTGCTCCTCAAGCCTCTTAAGAGGTGCTCAGATGTTCCACATTTCACTCTTCTGACATCCGGTGATGCTGACGCAATGGCTCGTGGTATCTATGGTCATCGGGGGTAGATTACTGAAACAGTAGATTGGTTACCACTTACTCCCCTATGCGGTCGGCGTTGTTTATCCCAAATTGTGTTTAACCGAAAGCACTCCCATATATGGACGACTCCGCAACAAGGCCACTTGAGAAGTCCTCGTGGTTAACTGTACTGGGAGGTGGGCAAAACAATGTAATTTGCAGCCAACAGGTATAATTAATATTACAGTACTCTGTTGATGACTAGCGTGACCGGGAGTTTGTTCCCTTGGATTAAGAGATCAGATGCTATCTATCTGCTGCAGCTGTTCTGCCATGATAATCTGTGAACTGGTAGTTTCGGAGACGGAGACTGAAAAAGACACTTTTACTTTCCATCACTTGTAGCATCTTGCGCTATTGGTCTTCAATGCGGTCGCTAAAGTAGCGGAGAGTCGTTGGGATCATTATTTAGTTTAATCCTAACCTACTGCTTGCTGTTGGGACAGTTTAGACCTGACGACATTGGTCTTGTTGGCTATGAGGCGCACAGTTATTGGTATTTCAACCAGATGCAAATTCCGTTGTGTCGCAGTTAGACGATTTCGGATGTTTTGCACGGGGAAGGACTTTTTTTTATACACCATCGTAAACAGATGTGCTGGACGTGATGTTGAAACATCCTGTTTATCAATCCAGCCTTTTTCCCATAATCTTATGTAATACTCCACTCTTACACTAAGCGTTCAACTGGTGATGCGATCCCAATCATCACATTGCCACCAGATTGCCAGTTCCCCCCTACTTGCAAGGTTCGTAATGAAATGGTTCGGAATGATTCTGTTACTGGCCTGATTTTCGCACGCTGGTTAGTGGACCCTCTCCAAGCGCTGTCGATTGGAAAGACAATAGGAGCTTGATCATTCAAGATAGTTGAAAGTAGTTGAAGCACCACCCCAATCCAGCAGTTTTGTCTATCTGAAGACCGATTATGGAGAATGATGACTTATAATGCGGTTGGTTACTGGCTTCCTGGTTTGTTACTCGCTTTTGTCGTATGTCGATCTATTTTATCTAATACTTTCCATTATTGTTGAAGTATAAATCACTTGGGTTTTTACTTTGAGGTAACTGTTCCTTGGTCCTCGTGGACGGTTGCACCTAATGAGATTCAGGCACGTGGACGCGTCCGAATTCGCATCCATCCGGTTTCGTTTCTGGTGGGAATTAATGAGCAACAGAGTATCGCCGAAAAGTGAGTTATTGTCCCTTATACAAGCCACCGACTGACTGCAATGGGAAGGATATGTGCGAAATGTTATTCTCTCTGTCCGGTAAAAATTATCGTGACACCCCGAGTTTGTAGAAAATGGGTGTGGATGAAAACCAAAGTGCAAGTACAGTACCTAGTGGTCGCCACAACACACTTCAATTTGACTTTAATCGTACAGAATAGGTTGATGAAATCCGTGGATTATGTGTTCCTCAAGAAAACTATATTGAATATTGTTGATTGGCTTCGGTAGGTTTGGGTTGGTGGACTGAGCAGGTCGCATATTTTTTAGGTGAGATCATTTGATTGCCTGTATACTGTTACAAGGGCAAGATGGCTTAGTGGTTAGGGTGCGAGTTCACTGATCGGAAGGTTCGTGGTTCGTACCCGATATCTGCCTCTCGACTTCCTCTGTCTAGGCTTAGGCAACCTGGCATTATCCCAGCCCTCGTGCTTCCTTCTGGTGACGGCAGTTGGGCACCGAAAGGGTGCTACAGCTGAACGATTTCATATTGTTATCCTGCATAAGTAAGTCAACATTATTGGTACGCTGACCTATTTTTCGTATGTAGCCGTCTTCTCCACAATGATTGACGTAGATATAGTTCGTCGATATTTGGGTTCGATGATGTACTTAGCTCATCGACCTCATAGTTCCTGAATATCCTTCGTGCGATTTTGGAAATACCATTTAGTTGAGTTCTGCTTGCCCGAAACCTCACTGTCTAGTTTCTGCCAATAAATTCTCTAACAGTGTGATCAACTTTTGTCCGCCCGGTAAAGCTTTTGTGGTCGTTTCACAAGTGATTCGACAGCCACGCTGGTATTCTGTGCTTACGAATGCTAATTTTGGTTATCTTTCCTCTAAATAACTAACGAGAACCAGTTGGCGGCGACGGATAACCCTACGGTCCAGGAAACGCATTGTTTTTTACTAATGCCTGGTTTAGGTAATTGATTAAACCGGGTTAGCTCTCCATCATACACAGTCAGGCTCATAGTCGATCGACAAAGCCATTTTCCTACTGCGAAGAAATATACCAGTATTGTCTGCGGGGATGGGAACAATGTATGCAGCTTTATTTCAAACCTTTCTGTGTTTAATTTCTGTGAATTTAACATAATGGAACCAATCTGTGCACGCAGCACATTTCGCACTACGACGTGAACGGTAGTTGAACTGAATTCAATATCAGTATTGTTGTCAGCTAGGGCAAGGATTTCTTCCGTGTTAATCTCGATATCGGGTAGAGGACGACCGTTAAAATCGACGACCACTTTGTTGTCGTCGAAGTAGGCTGAGTGGACAATAGTGCCAAACTAGCGAAGTTGCAGCTTTAACGCAGCGCTCAAAATTCTACCTGCTAAACTTCACGCATTGACAACAGAGAACCGCAGCCCTCGTGCTTCCTTCTGGTGACGGCAGTTGGGCACCGAAAGGGTGCTACAGCTGAACGATTTCATATTGTTATCCTGCATAAGTAAGTCAACATTATTGGTACGCTGACCTATTTTTCGTATGTAGCCGTCTTCTCCACAATGATTGACGTAGATATAGTTCGTCGATATTTGGGTTCGATGATGTACTTAGCTCATCGACCTCATAGTTCCTGAATATCCTTCGTGCGATTTTGGAAATACCATTTAGTTGAGTTCTGCTTGCCCGAAACCTCACTGTCTAGTTTCTGCCAATAAATTCTCTAACAGTGTGATCAACTTTTGTCCGCCCGGTAAAGCTTTTGTGGTCGTTTCACAAGTGATTCGACAGCCACGCTGGTATTCTGTGCTTACGAATGCTAATTTTGGTTATCTTTCCTCTAAATAACTAACGAGAACCAGTTGGCGGCGACGGATAACCCTACGGTCCAGGAAACGCATTGTTTTTTACTAATGCCTGGTTTAGGTAATTGATTAAACCGGGTTAGCTCTCCATCATACACAGTCAGGCTCATAGTCGATCGACAAAGCCATTTTCCTACTGCGAAGAAATATACCAGTATTGTCTGCGGGGATGGGAACAATGTATGCAGCTTTATTTCAAACCTTTCTGTGTTTAATTTCTGTGAATTTAACATAATGGAACCAATCTGTGCACGCAGCACATTTCGCACTACGACGTGAACGGTAGTTGAACTGAATTCAATATCAGTATTGTTGTCAGCTAGGGCAAGGATTTCTTCCGTGTTAATCTCGATATCGGGTAGAGGACGACCGTTAAAATCGACGACCACTTTGTTGTCGTCGAAGTAGGCTGAGTGGACAATAGTGCCAAACTAGCGAAGTTGCAGCTTTAACGCAGCGCTCAAAATTCTACCTGCTAAACTTCACGCATTGACAACAGAGAACCGTTGTCGGGACGCGCCCAGACATGGAAAAAGTACATGCGCAGAGTGACGCATCCCCAAGGTCACCATCGGCCCGACACGTCCGGAAAGCAGGTGCGTTGGTGGAGCTCACCAAACACGCCTTAGCAACATAAGACCAGTGGAGTGGGCCTGAAAGTGATCACGACCGGAACACCGCCATTGGCTGTACAGAACGAACAAGTGAACGGCCATATCTGACCATTTAGTGATCCCATATATTTGCGCAGAAGCCATGTTTTATCCTGACAATACAGCCGTGTCTGGAGTTCTCCGTCTTTTTACCGCGCAGTCTGTCAGGCTCAGTGCAAGCGTAACCAATAGACGACCACCCACGATACAACAACTGTACGTAAATGTAGAGGTGGTCTTGTCAACTCGTGGGTTCTCCCAGATGTGTTCTTTTGTTCAAGTTATGCTTTACCATGTCCGATTTATTATTATTTTTCTCACTACCTGTAATCTAGTCATTTGGTTCTGTTGAGTCAAGTTGTTGGTGCATAGCATCGCTCACTGAAAATGGTCACAACTAACACAAGAAATCTTACATTTTCACTAACCGTAGAGATTTTGGGAACATAGAGCCCGAAATTTAAACTTTGGATCCTTTCGTTCTCAGCAATGCGAGTCTACAGAAATTAAAATTCAAACCAACCAAGCACTGAATTATACATTTGAACGAAATTTCAACAGATTGGAACACCTTCCTGAGGCAGCGGGTGCACGTTTTTCTTTTCTAGCTGTTTGCGTAATCTCTGTTCATATCTATACGCACTCATTATGGGTCCAATTAAATGGACATTGCTTTACCCATACAGCAATCCTTTAAACACGGACGACAGTTTGTTCACTAATTCCATAAATCACGAGTCGTACCCACCCTTTTCACTGGGTAGCATAGAGGTGATAACTGTATGAGAACAGCAAGTAAGAGCTTCTGCGTGGTTAGAAATGGTGAATTCATCGGACGTTCTTTTCTCTGCCGATGTACCTGAGATAAGCTCGAGACAACGACGAAATTATCACGTGTTTCTTCTCATTTCCGTTCCTTCGGTATTATGTGACACTTGCGGTGATAATTTTTCCCACTGAGGATCAGTCACGCTTTCGACTGTTCAAGCGCTCGCCAGACTAACGACAGTCTACTATTAGCGGATAGACACGGGTGATTCACGAACATTGCTTTTCGGACGTGTTTAAATATTGAACTTTCTCTTGCGCTTCACTGGAATGTCAAAAATGTGGATTCCTCTCATTCTAAGGTGTCCCGATATACTTGGATATATGTCCCAATCATGTCTTAAGGTAATATGTCCGAAACCAAAAGTGCCTTCGTCGGAGATCTAGAGATGACTCCATGTCAACCGAAGCTGTACTCTGAACCTCACTTACTCTTTGGAACATCTTGACCTGACATCAGGTCATCTTTAAATTCCTCTCGAACCTTTCAAGATTCCCATCAAACCGTCTCAGGAATCTTATGAAGACATTTCACCAAGGTATTTTAAGATGAAAACAGATACCTCTATGCGTTCTTCGTGCTTTGCTTTCTTGGACTTATTTTGCGAAAAAAAATTCAAAATGGGATCGGATGCTTTGTGTCTACAGATTAATATCAGCAACGCACTCAGATCGTTCGGATGCTTAACTTCCACAAAGGAGCACTTCGGTTCATCGATGTTATCATTTCGACTTTTCACACAAATGATGACACTAGTTATAAGAATTAGCTGCATTCGGAGGAACGGGCACACGTGAGCAATTGTCTTTGATGCCGTTTGTTTTGTTTGTTTTCCGCCAGGGTACACTCCTCCTAATGTTGTTTTTGTTTACTTTATTCCCCATATAGATTTGACAAAACCGCCGTACAACAGGCTATAAATAACCAGGGCTACGAGTGTTTAAAGGCCTATTTTGATCGCTACACTAAGCACTATGGTGCACCACGTGAGTTGTTCATTTATCTCTTATTGCACACCACCTGTACTGCACACTTACTTTTTTGTTGATGACCAGTTTGCAAGATGTTTTGATTATCGTTATCTGGAGGACGATAAGAAGTTAGTCACGCTTGTCGAGCTTTGGGATTTTTTAATTCTCGACTGGTTGGTACCGTTCTGCCCGCTCCGAAATAACGGCTAAGCGTCATGGCACTTCCAGCCAGTGACTCAGTCACTCACGAAACCTTGGGTTTTACATGGCAACGATTTTCGAATGGAGTCGAACAGGAGCGGACGACATTCTGGATTTCCAATTCTCTGACTACTTTTTAGGAGTTCAGTGATAGTGGATTTCGCTGGCTATACTTGCGCTTGTCCATCAGCAAATACGCAGCCCACCGAGAGCGTCTGTAGTTATCACCCGCCTGTGATCACGGTTGCCCACTCAAGCGAGGTGATTCACCAACCTGGAAATGATGCAGAAAGGCGTTTCTACATCTTAGTTTACCTCAGACATACATGTATGGGGTCTATCGAACTAATTTTGTTTTGATTCTTAAATGCTCTTAAATGCTGCAAGTCTTTGGCCTAGAAAACGATGGTCTGATGACATTCGGTCAGTGCGGATTTGTGCAGGATGTGGGGTTTCCTGGTTTGTGGATAGACAGTGGTGAGATGAGGCTATGATTTTCCATCACCAAACTGCCGACCTGCGGAAGACCTATCTTACGTGGTTCAGCTTACTGCTATCTGCCGACCACTATTGTAGACGGGAGTTAAGTCCAGCTATGGGCTGCGTATCGAAGCGCATTATTTCTAGCTGTCATAGGTGGAGTCACCGACGGTAGTGGATTCAGTTAAAGCGTAGGGACGGACTAAATACGATCGCTTCGAACAAGCCAACGTGCGGAAAATTTTCCGAAATGCGCCAGACAACAGCATTTAAAGGGACGACTTCGTTACACGAACACCATTTACTACGTAATCGGGGTGCATGTGCGGGAGTCTGACCACTGATTTACACCGTCCAAAAGATTGACAGTCCAAGTATTGCAGCGGCCTGAACGAACTGATCTTTAAGATCAGTGTCAGACGGTCCGTTCCGTGTCTGTACTAGTAGGCAAATGGTAACTGGTTTTACTGCTAATTGTACTCTGTTATGCTGCTCCCAGTATTCGGCAGCATGTTAATTTAGAATGTGCTTCTATCGTGTCGTGCTGAAGGGAGCACAGACGAGTTGACTGTCGCCTGATACACTAGGGTACTGTTTCACTGTAGAACTAAAAACCTTCTGAAGCTGAGAGTTATTCACTTGCCTCAAACTCCATAGACTTCCCAAACTGCGTAAAACGTTCCACTAGGACTAAACCAAAGGCCCCCCCAGCAAGTTAACTTGAGTCAATTTCACACTCCATTCTTCATGTGGTAACTTTTGTTCGTGAACCAAGAAAATATTAAAACGTCTTTTGGATTGACTGCAACGAGGAAACTGAGTTCCTGTCAAGTACTGGGGTTTGATACATATTAGCCGAAAGGGTGTGTGTAACGGTTCTAAGATTTTTTGACGTGTTTTCGGCTCGCAGGGCTGACGGCACCCGATGACGCCCAACGATGATGACTGACTTACAGTAGTGTAAAACAATAAGCAGGCCGAGAATCGCAACATTTTAGGAAACAAGGCGCCGGATTTTAAGGTTGGTAATGGTTTGTGGGATTGAGGTTCACTCATTTCTTGGATCTACCTTTCATTGGTTAGTCCGATCATTTAAACGTTGCCTCGTGTTCGGTTGACTTTTGTCAATGGTTTACGTCGTTAGCACTAATGAAGTTGCAGTCAGAGTATGTCATCAGTCAGACAGTGGATCCTGAGCAATGAACTTGTTTCCTATCATTGTCACAGTAGGGAATTTTTCTGTCCCTAAAATTCAACTCCCCCGCGAATTTCGTCCGTTTTACGTAGCTGTAGGTTTTCAGTTTCTACTCGGCAGTAATTTCACAAGGATACCAATGACCGTACCCACTGTCACCCAACCGTCGTCCAAATAAAAACTATTGAAATGAGATGGCGTGAACTAAATTGGTGGGCGTCCATAGCCGTCAAATGTCGGGAGCTTAGTACTGGCAAAACCGCGAAATTCTGACTTGGCGGTTTAACCAGCCAAGTGGTCTGCATTTTAGTTGTTTCATTGTCCAATGGCTGAACTGTGAATTTGTTGATTTGATGTGGCTTTCTACCACCATAAAGTTTCAGATATGTGAGCTCCTGGTTGGGTCTGTGCATTTAGTCTCGTAATCATTCGATCGTTCATTCACTTGCCGACCGCTGTTTATGACGGATCCACAAAATAACGCATACATGAACAAGACGGTCGAGAATATCCTTGCTCGCACGTGCAATCCGAAAATTGGGTGAAAGGAATCATCCAGGCTGTATGGCCTTTGAAGTTTACTGTGGCAAGTAGTCCTTCGCAATATCAGCTGAGTACATGTACTTTCGAGCGTGGTTGATTGCGTGGATGCCGCAGTCGTATACTGTGGAGTGAAGGCGTTCAGGTGTAGTAAACAGCATTGTGCAAGCCTACTGCGATATCCGTTGCAGATGAGTGAATCACTTATGAGCCATTGGGCACATAATGAACGGGCGGACGAACGAAAATACAATGTCGGCTGCAGGGCGAAAATAGCCAATCGACACTTTCGGTTGCTTTGAATCTCTTTTGATGGACGACATGTATCATCTATGTTAGCGAAAACTGCGGTATACAGAGCTCGTATTGGGTTCCTCGTGAAATACGCCTCTCCAGCACTGTTGATCAAACACAGGAGATTTCGCCATCAATGGGTGGTGTGCGTGCTGTTCTGCAACAAAATATCCCTTGTATCAAATGTCTCGATTTCTATAGGGAGCAAAATTCTTATTTTTGCCTGCACAAGAATTACAGACCGATAGCATTTGAACTCTTCAAGCATTTGGTCTCAATGAATCAGAAAATAATCACCGAAGATACTCAGTTATTTTGTTGGAAATTTCGAAAAGAATGCTACGAATTGCTCAGGTTATTTTGAACTGTCGATTCGGTGACGTTATTTTACACTTAACAATCTTACAGTAGTTTAATTATGCCAAACTGTTGGATGTGTCGGTGCGAAGGCAATTCCGCTTTTTTTGGAGATCGACGTTTGTCGATAGACTAGAAAACAAAATCCAGTCTCACCACCAAAGCCCTTGGATGAGGATCAAAAAAGCATCCAAACTACGTTGTTTTCCTCGGTTTTTTAGTTTATCGTGAAATGTCAATCGCATTGGTGTCTGCTTTGCCGACGTCCTAACTAGCTGCCTGTTGCGCCCTTCACCTCGCGGTGGCAACACATATCCAGTTCAGATAGTGGTTAGAAGTTTGTGATTCGACAGGATTGTATTGAGCGTATGATGGCTATGCACCACATATCACACACAGCCTCGCTTGTTTGGTTTCTCCCGAATTTAATGTGATGTGATGAATATTTTCGTTTTCATCCGTTTCGGTTGGTTTCTCATGTGTATTGCTGAACCGGATGCCAGATTTATATAAATTACTGTCTGGGCTAAGGACTTCAGAAATCTGCGTGATGGGTATGCATTTTTGCGATCTTGACGTAACACCATATAAAGTTGATGGGAACTCTGGCCCTATTAAGTGACGTTCTGTCGAGAAAAATTTTAAGAGTCGTTCTGACTCAAATGTGAGGCGGTCTTTGGACAGCACGTTAGATTGAG